CGATTCAGATATGATGCAAATCGCCTGTAAACTGCTTCGTAAGAAGTGGAAGTATACATCTACAACAATTCAAAGAAAAAAGCTGTCTTCAAAGAGTATGTTCTGAATAAAGTTTGATTCCAAGATCTGCAGAGAGTTCAAAAATGATGATAAATGGAAAAAAGAGAGTACCCGAGAAAAAGGTATGCAGGTTAAGAGCTGGAAACAATTTTGAACGTCGCAGTAACACGACAGCTTCTAAGAAAATATCAACACAACTTTCTGAGCAACAATTTGGCTTTTTTAGTTATTGAGAACTTTAAAATCTACAGCGCATCCAAGTCCAGCATGAAAAATACTTAATCTAGCTAGTTCTGCATAACATCAAGAGCATACACGAAGCATGAATAAGCACACAAGTATATTGGAACAACGACAATTGAGAATAAATTCTAAATAAAAGGAAAAGGAACGCCGAAGAAAAAATTATCCACTATTGCTTACGTTTATCATGAAAATCTAAACTCCTGGAACTGTGACATACCTTTGTTGTTGATTGTTTCGGCAATTTGTCCGCGAGTTCAAGTAAACCATAAACGACAACAGCTAACACTTTTTGTAAGGTAGTGTAGACAAACGTGCGGAATGGTTGAAAAAATAGACCGTTAAAGGAAATATGAATGTGAAAATAAATAAAATATTTCTAATCAATAATTGTTCTTACAGGCGCGAATGCCAACTATAACGATGCCTGTCAAAAATGAACCATCAAAATGTAAAGTGTCTCTACCAATCAAAGGAGAAAATACTGTTCAAATAACAAACATGGGTCAATTTAATGTACTTCAACAATGAGCACTCACCTGTTAACAGCAGGCAATAAACTTAGATCTCGGTGAGACTAAGTAAATTAAATTGATTCTCCAAGGATAAACGTAATATATATGAGCAGAGAGTAGTAGAAGAATGGTTGAATACATACGAAAGAAAAGCATGCTGATCACAATTGACTGATCACTGGGTGGCGATCAATGTCATGCGTGTCTAGTCCTTATTATTGCAGATCAAATGCTGACGAGTGCCAAGTAGCACGAAACCCGGGTCCAGCGTTTCCTGTCGACCACTTCCAACCACAATCTAATCTCAAAAGCATGCTGACTTATATATATGGAGGGTTTTCAAATACATATAAGAAGACAAATAAAAGGAAAGTCTTACGCGGATGACGCACTTCAGAAACGGGCGCAAGAACTTGATTAGCCTATCGGACAATTCAAGCCACTATTGGGAATACCTTTGAAGAGAGATAACATACTGCAATCATCGGTATTTGTTCTATTACCTTTATTTGGTGTATACATATTAGCTTTATTCCATGCTTGGATATGAATCTTAATCTATGCTAGTACGTTTACTGTTGCGGAGTCAGAAGTTGGGATTTATAGAAAATCGGAGTATTAACATTTCTAGCTTCAGCGATTCTTAAACAAAGTATAACCGCCTTTAATGGAAATTTTGTCGTTGATCTGTAAATTAATTATTGTCAGCAGTTAGAGCCATTGTAATGTGGGATTCTTATGTGGACAGATACAAGTAGTACTTAGTTGGGATAGAAAGTGGAATCCAACAGAAAATCAAAATAAAGTGAACAGGAATGAAAACTTAAAGCGATTGGAACAACAACAGAATCAGAAGAATAATGGAATATGTAAACGACAACTGAAGGATGACGTGCAAATGCTGTATTTAATGTATGATTTTTATATTGTACAAAAGAACTGTGTGCGTTTTCACGAAATAATGCACCTGTTTATCATACCTTAGTTTTTGTTCACTACATTACTTTTGCGTCATTGTTGCTATTCTCAATAGCCCTCTTTAAGATAATGAATACTCGTCATTCTCCACTGACAAAATAGAAACACGATCTTTAGGTTGCGTGGGGTCCTAATCATTAGGTTTATTAGTAAGGATGATAGAAAAATACCCTAACAAATATCGACAGTAGTCTAAACTGCCCACGGAGTTATTCAATAAAATTTGAAATGAAAAGTACGTGGAGTGGATAGATTGCTTCAGGCCAGTAACTTAACCCAAAAAAATGAGCCTTTTACAGTTAGGAAAAGTAGTTGTATCATCTAGTGACCAAGCTGTTTGATCACTCAAGCGTGATTAGTAAAAATTAGTACAAATCCCTGTTTAATCTATAGTGTCGGTTATTGTGTTAAGCCCATATACTTTATTCTAGCTTCCGGACAGGCCAATCTACTCATTCTGCTTGAGTCATATTCCGACCTTGTTAATTATTCATTTATCAATCGTGGCTGTACTATATGAGCGCGTATGTGTGTGTACATTTCTTATCCCATTCACCACATGTCTGCAATTTATTTTGTGTGACTATAAATATTGACTAGTGTTTGACTAAAAGGGAGTCGGCTTACCTGCCATCTCCACTGCGCGTCCTTTCGCTTCGCTGTATTCCATTCGCTTCATATACAGAATATATATATACACAAGTCCATTCTCGTTATTTGACTTAATTAATTCCGTTATTGACTAACGGGATTTAAGTCGATGATCATATACGAGGATAGGCGACATATATATTTCAATAACAGTCATTCATACGATCAAAATGGAGTCAGATCTCGGGCCACTAAATTGGAGAGCCCGTCAACAATGACGAAAAAATAAAGGGCCCCACAAATCAAATTATGAAGCCTCCAGTAATTAACTAAATATTACATAGAAACCAGTTACTTATAAAAGGAAAAATGTGTATTCCTACCAAATAAATAACTTTACTGTATCACCTCTGGTTAGATAAAAGCGTCCACTTTATGGAGGAATAGTCAGACCGGGAGAAAATATGGCAGTTTCCAAGTTTTGAGGTCAAGTAAAATGAAATTAACACTTTCTGTACATCATGCAAACACTGATGACACACTGAAAAAAGCAGTAACGAAATCCAAATTTATTACAACAGCATACTTATGAAGAGAAAATGTTCTCGTTACCAGGTATGTGTATATACCCTGCTCTCACTTACATAAGATAAGCGAATATCTAGTTACATCCGATTCTACTCAAATTTGAATGTATATTGCTTTGCTGCTAATGTGGTATGTGCTACTTATATTGACATAAGTAGTATATGATGTTAGTCGTGAACAGAAGGTCTGGAAGCAGAGACGAGAGGATTGAACAGTAAAGAATGGAAACAGGATGCAATTTGAATGAAAATGCAAGAACAATGAAATCTGAGTCATTTTGAGACAATTGGTGGACATTTTGCGAATTAAGCATTTACTTTATGATTGTTATATTTTCTTAACAAGTCCTGTAATTTTGTCCCCACTGGTGTTCGTGTTCACAACACTAGGATATATTTGTAAATGTATCTTGGAGATCCGATTGCCGAACACAAAGAATTTACTTACATCATCATTAAAATTAGAACACATAGAGTTTGGTTAAGCATTATCACTTGCAATTGCTAGCCAGGTAGGACTAAACTACCCTAATCGGATACTAAAATATCTGTTATTTCTTCTGAAGCACACTAACGTGTCATCTACATATATTCTAGACCATTCGTGTTCCCTAAAGTCCTTTGGGAATGGAGGCGAACCAACTAAAACTAAGCGTAGGCCCATGGTTTTCTATCTTTAGTTACCTACATTCAAAATATAATGCATACAATATCGAGTAGCTTGTGCAAGTGGCCATCAAAGTTTGATTGGTAAAATCCTATCACCGCTAAGGACAAAAATAACAGTGGTCAATAATAGGCGAACAATTAGTGTATACCCTGTTTTAAAAGAAATAGCCTACAAAAGCATACTGGTGGCACTTAAAAAGAAACTACACGTTTTCTGTTCTCTATCACAGATATTTCATCAGTTAATTCTGCAGTACACCAAACATAATGTTCTTTTCCTTATTTCGCACACCAATACCAAATAATCTTAACCATCACCTTGTGTGTTGTGTTTCCTACCAGCACCTTTATGTTTGGATGTCGCGTAGTCGACCGTTACCGTACAGTTGAATATAGAACTATCACCTAAGTTGTCTAATAAATTTAACACAAAGGAAAACAGCCCAAATTAAAAAGTCTGGTCACGGAGTTAAAATACTTTTAATAAAAAACCCAGGATCAGTGTATCGAAAATCCACTAGATTCAGACAACTCATCCTTTGAGAATGTAGCTACCCATTTTGTACTATACTATTCAATAGACTGAATTGATTTTAGCTGAAGATTTAAGTGTCATTTATTAAAATTTCTTAACATGTTTTGATACTGTCCTTCACAAATTTATAATCCTAATATAAGTACTTGTTTTACTGTGTTTTAGGAGTTTATTATTCATACATAATTTGTATCACTTTACATATATATATATATATATATATATATATATATATATATATATATATATATATATATATATATATATATATATATATATATATTGTAAAAAAGAATGGGAATGGCGATTTATTAAGTAACCAGGTTTTTCTACGTTAACTGATAAGACAGCGTATGGTTCACATGACTATGGTATGTGTTCGCAAACGCAAATAGCATTTTAAGTCTCCACAGTGTTTCTGGTTGGGGTTCATTTGTGTGCTATATACAATCTGCGTAGAAAGAATAGAATATTCGCTACGTTTATTACTATCATTGTTACTCGATGATAAAAGTTTTTTATTTTAGTTTTAAACGTCCTGGAAACCATGTAGTTATATCTGCTGCTCATGTGTATTGAATTCCATAAAAAAACTGGGTATTTTCTTGATTAACTACCTCACATGTTATTATTTCACCCATAGATATATGCAGTCTAGTAGTCTTAGGCTACACCTTGTATTCTGCTTGGAGCAAATGATTAGTATTATACGTCTTTATAAGCTACGTGTAAACTACAACTTATTACATGAGCTTAGGTATGTGTTTTTGATTTTAACAGGTGAACGAGTGAATATGAACATAAGAAAAGACAAGAAAGTTTCTGTTCAAACTGTATAATAGTATTTGATTTACAAATTAGCGAATATATATATATATATATATTCGATTAACAAGCCACTCATGTATCTGTTTTTAGTAGATAAACAGAGCAAGAAAAGAAAGTTTAAAACAAAAATATTGGGAGAAATGTTCTTTTTTAATACAAAGAAAATTGAACAGCTTTACATCGATGTCTATCTCCTCATACATATTGATTGCTGGACAAACTGATTGCATTTACGAAGAGGTAAGACGTAAATAATAATAAACAAATCGTTGTTTGTTCTTTTGAAAGACTGTTTCTAGTTAATAGATAATATGAAAATGACAAGATTTTAAAATGAAAAGTAACGTTGGATAATAATGATAAACAACATTAGTTTGTGATGTCATTCATAACATAGTGTTATAAAATATAGCAATGGATTGATAGCATTATAACAGATTTTATTCTACAAAAATCGACATAAGATGAATAAAAGAAATTAGATTATTCTGTCAATATAATTAGAATATTTAGTTGATTTGGAAAACCTTTAAGAACAAGCAACGTACACGTCGGACAATCAACCGTACACAATCCACAGTGTACATGTAACATTGTATAACAAGGGATAGATAGACAATACCGGGTGTGAGCAGAACAATGTTCATAATGAGAAGAAAATGAACAAACGAACAAAATGAATAAGTCGAAAGGTTAAAAAAATAGACTAATGATGATGCAACAACAATAAAAATACTTAAAAGTAAAAACACACATTTTTTACACTGAGGTAACTCAACAGAAAATTCCATGGAAAAACAAATAAAATAAGATTGTGTCAGAGCAAGATCAAATAATGATGTTGATCAGTTGTTACTAATAAATATATTCTAGTCAACTAATGAATGAGATGGTTTAAAATTGAATTAAGCTTTCAGACAAAGCATTTTTATAGAACACTCGTCATGATAGATTTGTTTCATGTATAAATATATGTGTGAATAATGATAGAAATTCACCATACTTTTTAAGCAAGCATAAATAGTACTAATCTCAGTAAACAAGAATACCCATATATATATAATGGAGCACCAGGTAATTATCGTGAAGGATAATAAACTTTTAAGTGAAGTGAACCATTGAGTAAAGAAAGAAGACAAGACAAGCGTACATTAGAAATTTCCGAATAATTAATTGAATGATTAAAAAGATAAATCAAAATATTGGTTCAAGACATTTCACGGGAAAAACTTCGAAAAAATGACAAAATAGCAATAAGTATATTTCGCCAGTATTGAGATCTTCGATGTATGGTTGTTGTTGTTGCTGTAGACGGGTTTGTAATGGTATCATCTTCCCTGAGCCATAAAATAATAGGATCCGATGTATATACAAGCAAACAACTAGCTAACAATGTCATGGAAAAGCAAACAGCAAGTTTCCTATGCGATAAAACAAAAAGAAAAAAAACAGACGAAAGCGAATGAGGAAATATACAATAAGTCAAACAAATTTAAAACAGAAACGATAATCTATTGCATAAATCAATAGGGTGGAAATTGTAAACCATTGAAATTCTATAGCATTTCGAAAACGAATTCAACACCGGTGAGATATATGACAAGAATTGTGAAATTGATGTAGTTAGGCCCCTAAGTGCCTTGGTATGACCGAGGATGGAGAACCTGCTCTTCCTCTCGAAATGCTCTCACATAACCACGAGTATACAGCCACTAACATGGAAGTCCTACTCACTGCCTTTTCGAAATTGAGAGGGTGAAGAGAATTCCGGTGCATTAACCGGGTTGGTGGACGCGGAGGGTCCACCTAGGGGAGTTAAAAAACCCTCATTACGAACCAAAGGCTCTGGTTGGGGCCCCCTAAGAAAACCAATCGCTTTGGTTTGTGCATCCGGGCATTATCACGGACCTCACACAAATCAATGACAACTGCTACTGGCCATTGTAAAACATCGAATAACCGCTTACAACACAGGAAAAGATAACTTGAACCATTTAACAAAATATATTAATTTGTGAAATGTATATGAAATAAGAATTTAGAACATTTTAGAATTGCCAAGCCAACAGAAGTGATGTATTCTGGTTAGCAGTGGAATTAATCTAAAGAGTCATGAATAGGAAGGAATGTGTATGCAAGACACACAATCCAACTGTTTTGAATTACACTGGTATCATGAACCGATCGATGTAAGACCAACATTGAAAACCTGGATGTGCTCAAAAGCCGTCGCGTTCTAGTATATGACTCGTTGGCAGTGCGTGTCGACGAACGCATATGCGAGCGCTTGACTTCTATACTACTGAGTCGGGATCTAGCGGTGTGGATTTATGACCACTTCCCATTGCTCTTGGTAGGTAACTGTGTTACACCCGACACGGTTTAGCTTCACTAGTCACAGTTTCTCATTAGAACTCCAGGAATTTCTTCTAGAAGTTAGTCACTAGTGAGCGCATACTAATTGTTAGTAAAAAGTTATGAAGATTATTGAATTTGATTGGAATCACGAGCTTTTACCAAATGGCAATGTTGAGGTAATCCATTTCCCAACGAAGATTAGTAAAGATTTAGTCAAGAATATTAACAACAAGATAATCCGAAATATTTTTGACTATGATTATATTATAACAAAATGAAAATGTATTACAAATTATTAAAAAAAATAATTCTTTAAAACAATAAAATATACCTATTTTCTGTCAGAACAGCGCCCAAATTTAAACAACGTATAAGCACTTGTAGTAGCATAGTAACTAGTGCAAAGAATGACACACATAAATCAGTTAAATAATGTAATACTTTACGACGAACACGATCTAATTCTGTACCATGTGATTCAAGTGTATTAGATTGATCATGAGGTTTTTCAATCATGCTTACCTATGGAAAAAAAATAATTGACTTTAATATTTAATAAAAATTAATTCATTTAAATTAGAACTCAATTGATAATTGTGATAAATAAGTAAAAGGATTTAAATTGTCAATAAATTAAAATTGTTTATCTGATAAGATTTTTTTTTAAAAAAAAAAACTTTTTTTTCGTTTCAGAAATTAAATCTTAATCGTATTTGAAAGGATAGTGAAGTTTATAGATCAATTATTAATATGAAGTTGATATGATTAGAAGATAATTTTTGTTTTCTTTAAAATAGTTTTTGTCACGAACTTCAATTCAGAGTTAATAAGTGACTAAAGAGAATTGTGATATGTAGAGCTTTTATATTTTGAATCTAACATAATTCTATAATGTTTACATATGGAATAAAAGTAACATATATATAAGTAACAATTTATAGTATTGTGGTGCGTGCTACTTATATTGACATAAATAGTATATCATGCGAGTCAGGAATGTAATATGTGGCAGTAGAAGATTGGGAAGATCAAGAAAGGAAGAACGGGAATAGAAAGTAATTAGTATAGAAATGCAAGAACAATGAAGTCCGAGACAATTATTGAACATTTTGCAAACTAGGTATTATAGTATGGTTTTTCTATTTTACCAATTAACTCTGTAATGTTGTGCTAAATATAATTCGGTTGTCCTCAACTGTGTTCTCTTTTACTACAGTTTTATGACATAGATTGATCTATTAAGGCTATAACTTTTCACTTACAATTATTATTGGAAAAATATAAATCAATCAACTGTTTCAAAGTAGTTCATAAGATGTAAGAGTATAATAAACTTGATTTACTCAAACTTTAAAAAACGTAAAATCATTTGAAAAACTTTATTTTACAAAATTCAGAGTACATTAATCACATTTCCTTCAAAATATAACTAATTCATATCAATAAACGTGCCATATAACCGTTTCCAAACATCTTTGTAAGTCTTAGAAAATATGTTGTTTCACAATCTTTTAAACCAGAAATCACTAACTAAAATCTTGTATACAAACGGTTTTCACATATCAAATCAGCAGTCGAAATGCACGAAAGAATGCATAATGTTCAGTGATGTCACGAACACAGGACGTCAGCAGTTGTTCTGGTTCTACATAATCCCAAAATCTTGTACGACTTAATATTGGAAGGAGTTGTCTTTATATCAATGGATTAATCCCATAAAAACATGTCTCAATACTTCTTATGAAATCTCACTGGGGATACTTCCAAACATAGTTAACAATACCTATAATTTTACACACTATACACGTAATAAGATTTTTAAAAGAACATAACAGATACAAAAGTAGTGTTGCATGTGCATCTCATGCATCTAAAAACTGAAATTTAGTAACGGCACCTGGTTACTAATTTTATGGTGAAAGATATGAAGTTTAAAAACAGTAATGTGCAGGAAAATCATGATAATAAATGACATTTTGATGCTTCAATCACTAGATCGGTATAACATATAGACAATTATTTTTTCTAAATACTATAAATAATGCATGCAGTTTGATGAATATGAAAAAATCTTTTCTTGAGATAAAAGTTTAGTTGATAAATTCACTAAAAATCAATAGAAATAAATCGATAAGAGAAGACATAAATAAGTCTTAATATTGTATCCTTTTCTTTACAGTCAACTGGAGCAGGATAGATTCTAGAAGAATTAATTCAAGAATTGAAGTGTAATAGTTTCAAGGAACAGATGAATTATGGTTAGAATTGAAATCTAGAAAGTATGTTTTATTCTGTTTGAGATGCGTCAGTTAAATTTACCCACATTCTGATGTTGACATTCGTACCGGCTCTCAAACTCAGTAACTTTAATCGCTAGACACGCAGTGAGTACAGATAACCACTAACTGATACAGCGGATAGACTTTTTAGACCAATATTAGTATGGGCTTGAAATATCCCGTTACTGACACTGCGGACAGAACTCTGGTCAGTATGTGCAAGTTCATCTATTCTATAAAATTTATGATATGCCTATAGCGAGACCAATCTGAACGGGATATGTTTATCCTAATAAACGTCGATTTAAATTCAAACATCAATACCAACAACAAGATAATTTAAATCTTACTATTAATGTAATGGTTTTGGCTACTACTACTACGAAAAAAAATTTATCAATTAAAGGTAACACAATTGGAAGAGAAAGAAGATACTCCACACAATTTATATAAGCGATTTAATAACACCGTGTTCGTTGATTACTGTAAACCGTCAAGATAAAAGGCTTTAGAAAAAAACCAATCAGAAGTGAAAACAATTTTTGTTCACTAAGCAATTATGGATAACATACGATTATTTCAAGCTAAATGGAAGTCAATCAATCAATCGCTCAATTTTTGAACATACACATGGTCAACTCTGAGCACGTTTCACCACTACAGAAATCATTGTTTAAAATTACCTAGCAAATTAAAAGAGCTGGTTTAAAAAGAAGATTTACACTAAAAAAAATTCGATTCAATAAAACCACATGGTTGCCATTTTTATTTCACATAATGCAGAGAAGTAACAAATAAACACCAACCTTATTATTAATACTTGTAATATTATCACTTAGGTCGCGTATTTTTGTAGTCACTTGATATTCAACTGAATATAAGGAATCATGAAATTCATTACGTATAGCTGCTAATTCATGTGGTAAAGCTTGTCGAGATTCTTCAGCTATAGCATCCAATCGTTCAATACGTGAACTGGCATCGGTTAGTTTTTGATTTTGTAACTCCGCTTTTGTGGTTGCATCACGCTAAAATAAAAAAAAGAGAGGATGGTTAAAACTATGTGATAAAATTGTTATCATTATTATTATTTAAATCCCCGAAGTCTTAGTGGAAACTGTGCTCAGTGGAGTTCGATCGTCTCGGGTGGGAGGCAGTTACCCACCGAAGACAAATAAAGATAATTGTGAAATATAGTAAATTAATTAAAGTTAGACGTGTACACCTTTGGATGATAGCTTAGTGGTTTAAAGATAAAGCTCTCGCAGCCAGACCTGAAGGCCATGGGTTTGATCCTCAGTGGGAGAGTCATGAAAGTGAACTGCTGAAAAAACCCATACTATGACAGAACAGCTGTCCAGTGCCTTCCTTGATCTTACTGATACAAGGATGATAATGAGGGGCAAAAGAAAGCCTGTGTAGTAATTGACAACATTCGATTTCTTTTTTACTGTTCGATTGAGAGAGCCGTCGAAACCTGGCCAACAGTTTGACATACTATTATATCCAAAAAATGGATTCGATCTACTCGAGTCACGTTCACTTGTGAATCATACAAACATATCCACTAGGCTATTGAGTCCAGATATCTATTAAATTGTCTTTTGGGTACGAAATGTTTGAATTTTTCTGTTGTGAATACTAAAAACTAAGATTGTTATGTTTTTTTTGATGAGAGGTATAAAAAAATGAGCGGATTACATTGATAGTACCTTTAATTACACGTTCATTTTAGCATAATATGGATATACAGGTTTTTACCTTTTCCTATAGATTCAGTGAACAATGAAACATATAATTTAAGAAAATCATTGAAATCAACAATCACACAATAAAAATATATATGCAATAATATTTGTTACATCGTTTCTATTAGAAAGAGTTAAAAATAAATAAATAAACAAATATGAAAAGAAGGAAAATAACGATATTTGTTTATGTTAAGTACCGAAAAGCACATCCATGTGTACATATTAAAGCAGGTGATAATGTCATGCACCCATGTGTGTATGTGTGTTTACAAATATACATAAATGGGAAAGGAAATATTCAATCCAAGAAATATAACAAATACGAAGGTAACATTTATTGTTTTCGTATTTTCGTGAGGAGAAGAACTAACTAACTAATTTATCTTTACATTCCTTTATATTTTCGTGCTACACAAATAAAATATCCAACAACAATAAAAGTGACCTTCATAGTTAGGCATAAAACAATCATTTATGGATTCAAGGTGATATAATGAGTCAGCATCTTATTATTATAAGACACGCAGTATTTCTTAGATGCTGGCCATTTGTATACTTAATAATGTTTTCTTAAGTTATTTCTATACAATGATAATCAGTCCAAGAATTGAAAAACCAAGTAATAAGCTGTTAAGACAATTGGGATTTTATGACGAGACTGATATTTTTGGCAGATTATAAAACAGTAAACAATGACGTAGACATTGGTGGGAATTTTTTCCAGGTATTTGTCATTTAGGCAGGTAATAGCAAGACAAGTGAAGTAAATTACCTTAAATGCTCCAGACCATCGAAATCTATTCTCAAAATAAATATCTATTCAGTGCATTATTTTGATCTATCGATATGACAATAAAGATGTAAAGACAGCGTAGGATACCTTATTTTGAAAAGAGCAACCGTCGATGAATAATGATAACGATTATTCAAAAACAACGATAAGGAATGAAACCAGCTATAAATAGTAGTATGGTTACTTATTATTTTACTACTTAAACTAATTGAAATATACTAACATTAGCAGTAGTAATAAAATTTATACAAAAAATGCCACAAGAATATTTCGATCATTAATTGACAAAATACCTAACTATCAATAGGCAAGTAATGTCGAAAAATAAGGTCACCTGAACAATAAAACAAGATAAATAAACACAAACATAATCTATAATAATGATAACAATAATAATAATAAACGTTCGAATAACATTGGTAAAACTGATAACAAATGCAAACTAACTCGAATAGCTTCTAATTCTGTTGTTAAATTATTCAGTGTAGACTGAATACTAAGTGTTTCACTATGCATAACAGACAATTCATCACGAAGTTCTTGAAATATCTGTGATTGTTGATTAGTTAGAGAGGCAAATTGACATTCTTGACGACGATAAAGATAAGCAAATGCAAGTGCCAAATTATGTGGTGAAATATTCATTATTGAATTACCTAAGTGGCCAATACTACCAGCAGCAACACCACCACTTAAACTCCCAGTAACAATACCGCTACTATGAGGAGTACTAAGTGATTCTGGTGAGATAACATTCGCCCCACTTATATGACTTTTAGATCCAGCTTTAGTCTTATCCAACACGCCTAATCCTGAAGCAGACAATGCAGATGAACCTGAAGAACCAACACCGGGTACATTATTATTACCAATAGAGGTTAGATTTTGATTATTGAACACTTGATTTGGTGATACACCAAGAAATTCAAATATTCGTGCCAGTGTATTATCTCCACCATCTGACCATGAAAATGCACCAGTGTTAGAATTGACAGCAACAGATGGATCTACACTGGGACATGTATCATCTTTTGATGTACTAATTATACCACTTAAACCGCTAATCATACTACGTCCACCAGCATCATATCCACCGCAACTGATAGGGTTAAGTCCATTGGTAGAGGGTAATGAACCAGTTCGAAGTGGTTGAGAACTACTGCTAGCTACATTCTCAGGTAGGAATATGCTGGATGAATCAGGCTAAAAAAGGAAAATATAAAAAGGAAACCGATAAGCGAGTTGAACATAGAAATATTTACACAGTATTTTCTCTCAAACAAGAATAATTCAAGCAAACAATAATTTACAGATGAGCTTAAAGGAAACTGAACCCATTTATCAAGTGGTTTTAGTAAGCGATAGCATCAGCTGTAGACTATAGAAAACTAAACGGGAATGGTCGACTATTAGTCCTAGTATGAGACTTCTCAGCTGGTGACTTGACAATCACTATTGATAGAGTATAAAAATTACATTTAGTCAGTGAAAAGGATAAGAGAATAGGTGACTGAAATAATTGTATTTCGATAGAGCGATTAGAAGACGGAGTTGATCTAATTGCTCTATCAAAATTTATAAAAAGGAATAATTGCTTTAAATAATTGCATTTCTATGTTATTGTTTTTTAGTGTTTAAACTGCATAGTACAATTTCGAAATCACAAATAATTTACTGATCTATGTGATTGAGTTGTTATCAATAAAATAGAGAACTCAAGATTTTCTGTTAATTCTAGTTGATACAAAAGGAGGATGAAAATTCCGTTATTTGTTGAAATTCAAATAAATCGTAAAATAATAGCGGGGGTAATCCAGACGCAAAGTTCCTGATAGAATTCCAGTTAGCGTGAATAAATGATTGACTTTGTACAATAATAATAGTAACGTTTCATAACTTGAACTATCATGTTTAAATTGTGTAGTATAATTAAGAAGTGGGAATAACGATAATCGTAAGAGTTATGAGATAATATTAAGTGGTTAAGAGAAGTAGGCAGAAAATCTATACATTTCATGTTAGTAGGGTTTCGTCATAACAAGGGTATCTGAAATCTTCAGGAAACTGATGTTTTCTGGTAGATCCGAACCTAGGTCATCCAGTTCTAAAGAACGACGTTTGTACTGAGCTATACAAGGCGCGACTCAACTGTAAGTTAAGGCTACTAACATTGACCCGCGGGACAATCTCATGTTTATCTAATCTTTGATATCGGCTACAGTTCAACTTGATCTATAGAATTCGATCAGCACCATAGAGAAAATACGCTTAATACTGGTCACTACTTAGGGATCAGTCATTGTAGTTACAAAACAAAAGGATGAGGAAAATTAGTACGAAATTGGCTAGACAAATGAGGTTGTTTTGCTATTTTTTCTGTATGATAAAAGATCATAGTAACAATAAGCATCAACTAGTTCAATAGACCTGTCAAGCTTCCCATATCAAATCTTCACACCATAACTATTGTATAGCACCTAAAATAACAGTCTGACTATCAAATACCTGAACAGACAAAGTATCGTTCAATATATTTAATTATGGAAAAATGATACAAATTATAGTTAGAGAAATCATCATAATATTATTCGTTGTTAGGTAAAATGAAGTGGCAGAATAAATTAAATATATTCATGATTATTAAGATAAATGAATGCTAGATAAACATATGGATCCACAAACTAAGAAATTAATTATTCTCTGGATCTAAATCAGACAATTATAAACTCATGTAAGTGATTTATAATAACCATTGATTATTTTTGAGAACAGACCTAACCTACTCTGAACATTGCTCCGTGTTACACTTACAAGAGTTGCTTAAAAAAACCCACTAGCAATTATGTTTGTATGTGTTTAGTGTATATGCATGAATGTGTATATAGATGTATAACGGTAAGAAGATCAAAAGGGTGCATTCAATCTGAGATTTTGTGAGGTTGTTGGTTTTTTGACGGTGGTATTTTACATGCACGTAAACCTTTAAAAGTTTGATGAGGGAAGCAGCCATCATTTTGGCAGTGTTCAAAAACTTTAATCTTATTGTTTCTCTCGATGTTCTGAAACGGATTGTTATCAAGCAAATGAATGACTTGAAAACATGAGCAGGGAGGCGATTCATCAGGAATCTCACGCAATCGGTGCTCTTTTTGAATCGGAATAAAGCCTAAATAGCAATCGAGTACGCACTCAATGATATACATTTTACCACGGAACATGACTTAAAAAGTAAACTTAGACGGCGCACTACAAGGACACATCCACCGCAAAAATAAATAGAGTGGAGTTTATCTGAATCACAACAGTTTCTGTCTAATAAGTTACAAATATAGGGATTGTAGGGACGTTTTGACAACGCTCGTAAACTATTCTCGAAGGAAAGTCTGGAAGAACTTGTCTTCATTACAACCTGGCCTAAGTAAAAAGGCATATCAGGTGGAATTTATTGACAAGTGTGCCAAAACCAACGTACGGGTTAAATACGATACAATGGAAGAAACCTATTTCTTAAATCTACGCTTCAAAGGAGATGAAATCATTGGAATAATCAAACACTAGATGAATGCAGTGATGAAGGTTACTTATACATCAGCACGACTGATGACGTTATGTGAAACTATTCACCCAAACAAAAAAACTGACGTTATAATAAGCACAGAGAGATGTTGGATAGCACAGGAATCCAGAACGCACGTTTCGCTCTATTTGTACCTTGTTAGCTGCGTAACTATATCCCAAAGTTAATAATCACTCCCACACTCAAATCCGATACCGTTCGCTAAAAACGCTGAATGATGCAACGCTAATCATATTCAGCACTTGTAAAACTTGACAAACTTAACTACTTTGAAATAACGCCATTCCATTCATAGATTTCTTATAATAGTTGAATTCATGAGCCAGTGTAAGCTAGACAACAATTTAAAAACTTGGAAGCACAGTACAATCGTTTCGTACTCTTATGGGACTCCTCAGCAGTGCGCATCCACAATCGCGTATGCAGAACAGTCGATCTCGCGAGCGAACGCTAAGCCTCCAGACCACTGGGTTGGCATCCAGCGGAGCTAACATCTAGCTTCAATCGAACCATGATCATGCGCAACCTTTCATCTATTGTCTGAAGAGAGAGAAAATTCCACTTCAAGTAGCTTTTCGACGAAACTATAATTTATGAGCGAACCATGATCTTGTGCAACTCTTTATCCATTGTCTGAGATGAATAACTGTCTCACACCTGACACGGATCGGACTTCATTGGTCAGGGCGGCGAGACTATGATTTGTGGATGAACCAATCAGATCCACCCATCCATTTGGCTAAATAGAGTCTTGGCATTATAGCTCATGTCAGTTCGTGATAAAAACTCTAAATCTAATTTCTAACCCCAACCATCAACTGTAAATCATAATTCTAATTCCTCACGCTGCTTTATAATCCTAGTCCTAGTTATTAGGTGAACATTCTCAAGGTCACTTTAGCATCGCTCAAAGGTCGTCCATAAACTATAGTCTCACCCTTTTCCTCATGACTACAATATGATATATATATATATATATATATATATATACTGACGCCTGTCAACCCTCGCCAACCAGTATTCTCCATGCAACTATGTCCTGGGCAATCCTATTGCTATTCATTCTTTTCATATCTGCTTTATATTCCCGACGTAGTGTGTTCTTTGATCTTCTTCTTTTCCGTTTCCCTTGAGGATTCCAAGTTATGTATGTTCTATCCACTTACAACTTTCCGCCTCAGTTGGGATCTGATTTGTCCTCTCCCATAGTAGGCTGTTGCTGATGGTTTCCGGCCAACAGACATTGAGTAGACAATTGTTTACAAATACTTGAACATTTTTGATGATCGTTGTGATAGTTGTCCATGTTTTATTTCAGTACAATGGAACTGTCTTTACATTCGTATTGAAGATTCTGATTTTGAAGTTCGCTTGCAGACAGTTGTTTTAGGTTCGAGATGTTCTTCAACTGTAGAAGTGCCATCCTTGCCTTTACGTCTGCAACGGATCCTTCTTGTTCATCGATGATGCTGAACATGTCATGCACTTGAATGTCCCACCTGCTCCACAGTTTCTTCATCAAGTGTGATTGGTTTGGTTGGTGTTCTCTGTGTTGAATTTGAGGATCTTGCTTCTTCCCTTGTGAATGTTGAAGCCTACTGATGCAGAGGCTGCTGCTACACTGGTTGTTTTAACCAGTATTTTTCGGTTTGTATAAGATAGAAGGGCTGGATCATCTGAGAATTCTAAATCTTCTAGTTGAGTTCAATCTGTCCATTGTATTCCGTGCTTTCCCTCACATATTGAGGTCTTCATAACCTGTTGATTTGGAAACTGGGTGTCTACTTAATCTTTCATCTGGTTCGGCAACACTCTATCAAAAACTGTTCCTGGTACTCACATAAGTGTGATACCTCTGTAGTTCTCACACTTGCTCAGATCTATATTCCTTGCCCTCTTGATGACATATCCTTTTTTCCAGTCTAGAGGCACTACTTCTTCCCCCCCCCCCCAAATTTTCCTGTATAGAAAGTGAAGAATGTTTGCTTTTATGTGTGACCTCAGTGCTTCGGCTGATATATTTTCAGGTCCTACTGCCCCCCCCACTTTTATCTATCTGATGGCCTTTTTGATTTATTCGATCATTCGTAGAGTGACATCTATAGAAATGTCTGTAGGTGCTGTCTCGATGTCCGACAGATTCAATGTAGCAGCTCTATTCAAGAGTTCCTTGAAGTGTTCCACTCATCTGTTTCTCTGTCCCTGAATCTCGGTGATTAACCTAACATATTTTTCCTTGACTGGTCACTCTGGTTTACTATATTTTCCCGCTAGTTTCTTCGTTATGTCATATAGTTGTCTCATATTTGCTTCAGTTACAACTTTTTCCGTTGTCGTTGCTAGGAGTCCCACGTATTTCTGCTTGTCTGCTCTAAAGATCCACTTCGCTTGCTTGTTTGCGTAAGTGTATTCTCCTTGTCCTAATTTTTTCTGTACTTGTCCGACTGTTGTTTATTGGCATCTTCTTGTTCTTTTCTTGAATCTTGTCTAGGGTTTCCATAGAGATCCATTCCTTATGATGATGATGCTTGCGGTCCAGCACCTCCTGACATGTTGAAGTTGATGCTTCTTTGATCCGTTTCTAGTTGTCCTCATTCGTAGTTTCGTCTTCTTTCAGTAGATCCTTTAAGGTTTGGATCCTATTGTTGGGAGTTATCTTAAATTGGTTGGGTTTGTTAGTATCTTGAAGGAACGTTGTATTGAACCATTGTAATGCTGCTTCCCCAACTGTCCAGTGTTTCTTTAGCTTCCGTTTCATTTTGGCAACCACCAGGTGGTGATCTGAAGTTATGTCAGCACCTATCCCGGTTCTCGTGCCTCCCATTGTTCTTCTGAATTTTTTATTGATACAAATATGATATACCTGGTTTCCTGTGGTGTTATACGATGGAACCCATGTAGCTTTGTGTGGGTATATTGTGCCGCCTAAAACCACACAAATTTCTAAATCTCTCCCCATTTTCGTTTAACGATCCTTGATCCGTGAGATTTCCGTCTTATAAATGCATTTCGTGCAACTTTGGACAGGATCAAAGGAACTAACTGGGTGTGGAACATATCATGCCAGTGTACTAGGTTATATAGATGTTATCCAATTGTCAAGATTGATTAGTTAATCGCACTGCTATGCTGACTCTGAAACTTGATGAAGGTTATATAAATAAGAGAAACACTATAAACTTATTTTGATTATAGGATTATTTCTTTATAATGTACTTTATTTCAATTTTAGTTAGGGACGATGAAAAGTTATTTAAACGAAGCCCAAGGCTAAAGCATATGATACTTCATAACTAACTAAGAGAATATTGAATGTAAGAAAAGTTCATTGACAACCAGAGGGATAATGTAAAGTTTACAATGTTTTTAATAATCATGACTTGTAATACATGCACGACCCAAGTTTACAAGTGATATCTCTTAAAAACCAACGAATTTGCCTGCCAGTCACATTTTTTTAGAATTTGATTACACAGATTGAACTCATGAGTCAGTTGAAGCTAGACCATTTGATTAGTTGAAAGTCATGAACTACTGTCTTTATATTCCAGTCATTTCAGCTATTTGAAAGTAAACAATAACACTAATAGTAGTTATATATACACATATTCACTATAACACACAGAAGTAATACTAATAGATTAGATGAAAGAAAAACACTGGATGTGTGAAGTAATTCAGTTGAGTTAAATCTATTGAACAGTATAGGCAAGTAGGAGAATAATTAAATATACTGAAGTTTAGGATTGTTTTATTTAGAAGACAAAAAGTACGAGATTGACAAACTCTCAGTCTTCACCTTCATATACGAAGTATTATTGAGACATTTGAAGTCCTTTACCTACCACTATCATGATAATAATTATTCTCGCCACCGTTATATCATATTATTGTAAAGATTATATTCGAATAAATTTATGTTGTTATTATGATTGATCATATTTTCAATATTTTGATGGTTTATCTGACTCAACAATTTCATTCTTCAAACAAAACTAATATTGTTCTGAACTATACACAAAGATAAATCGTTTCAAGGAAATTATAATGATCACGAAATTAAATGAACAATGTTTCTTAATGTTATCATCACTTGATTATTTAGACTTAAGAAAATGAATTATAATACAGATCCTTTGAAATACAAGAAGCTGAAATCAATAAGCAAATGAATCACTACCGAAAATTTCGTGAAAACTTTTATCATATACACAACACAAGGTCAATCATTAACCAAAAGTCAAATCAATGGTCATATAATTGCAGTAAGTGTTCTATTCTTTCCGTTGAGATTTCACATGTATAAGGTGGTCGGTTTTATTAACATGAATAGTAAGAATGAACAGACACACACACATATACATAGGTAAAACAATGAAAAATAATAATGAATTATATGACACGTGAGTTAACTACAAGTTAAATTAATTGAAACGTATCACTGACTATTATGTTAGCAATTATACACATAAACAATCAATTAGACTTATGTAAGCCAACAGTGAAAACGATTAACCAGGTTTTTTTTATTTTAAGAAAAACTTGACAGAACATAAAAATAAAACGAAATCTAGATAAAAGACTTAAGAAACTTTAGACGATTTAAATCTTCAATGTATCTCAGTTTTCACTAAAATCATAAGTTTTTATGTCTAATGTTAATATTGACGTTTTTTTGTAGACAAACTTCAAAATATGAACATATAAATTGCAGTCTATTTCATTTAGCTCAAGTTTATAAATAGGATAGGAAATCAGAGAGACAACTAATTAGTAGAATATGCGAAGAAGAAGAATACAGTGATTGTTGCTGTCTTATATCAAGCTACAAACTATGATTATAGGATTGCTGGTAACAGTCAGATAACTTTGCTAGAAAAAAATGTTCAGATTACTAGTGCTGAAACAGATTTCGATCCTATTACTTCAACACGTGTATATTTAGATTTCAAATATCTTAACAACACTAAATGAAGACACCCTTTCTTTGGTAAATTGATTTAACGTTAGATAATATTGTACTTCGTAGACATGATGTTCAATCAAATGGGAATTCATTAAATTAATAAAGACGGCAAATATTAAAAATGAAATTGTCTTACAAATACTATAAAGAATGTACAATTAAACTAAACAATGTAAATATTTAACTCAGTCATTTGAAATAAAATGTAAAAATTCGAAGAAATATAAATTTCAGAAAGAAAGAAATCGATCACTTTTTACTCATATATATTCTATAGTGTAATTCCAAATAAATTAATTATCATTTAATTAGCTTACAAATTATTTATATTAATTATAAATAAAAACAATGACAATAATTAATCGAAAACAATTAATTGGTCAAATAGGGACAATTTTATTATCGATAATAGATTCATTCATTTAAATAATTAATTATCAGGATAAAAATGAAATTCTAGAAAACAAAAATCAACTTCAAAACGTTTATCACTATAATTTGTTGATATTATTATTCGTTGAACTGAATAAAATATAGAAATAACAGTTCTACTGATACTGACGAAAACGACTTTGCGTAGGCATACTAGGAATAAAGCATGAAAATCAATTAATAGGTATATTTCATGATACTATTAACAGATAACTACTACTAGATCAGACCACAGATAGACTGAAGTTTAGAAAGAATAGTAGATCATTTGATCAGAACTTTATGTTATGAAAATGTATTTGTATATTCAAAATATTAAGCTTGATTCGGAAAGACACTAATAGTGTGCACCATGGATGAAGTGATAAACTAAGGTGACCCTAAAATAAACGAAGGAAACTAGAAAAACTAGTGGGTTATCTCTTTTTCGATAAAAAGATTTTGGAATTATATATATATATATATATATATATATATATATATATATATATATATATCGAGTTGCGATACATTGTACAAACGAAAGTATGGAAGAGCTACTGAAATTACGACTTTGTAATATTATGAGCTGTCAATAAAGAGAAACAATTAAGGTAGTTTGATGAACACAAATAAACCTATAAAAAGCTGAATTTCACATTGCCCTGAACTATAGTTTATAATGAAATGCAATGCTATTAGAGAATGTTTTCGAAAAATTTCTTTCTATGCTCTGTTAAATACAAATCCTAACAGTCAATAGATGTAGACGGGATACGAAACTGTGGATAAATTAAGCTTATAGAAACGTTAACAAAACAGTAATATCTTGGTCAATATATAAAATTTTACATGGAATTAGTCAGTAATCGGAAGTTGAAAGATAGTAACTGGAACGACAAAGGTTACTTTTCAAATAAAAGTTAAAACAATAAGGGTAGAAAATATTTTACGTTGAAAGAATCAATATTCAAATGAATTATTTTAGTGGGACTAATGGCTTTTAAAACAGATGGATTGTGGCTAGCAGTGGAATATATAAAACCTATATTTCTTGTCACTGGGACTTGTCAGGTGAATTTATTTTGGTGTTGATATTCACACTACGACTCAAATCCAGTACTCTTCTCTCCGAAAATCAAAGCATTATCCACTGAGCAACCGAGACCCGATAGCCATTAACTTCTTCAACACGTACGTTTACGTTAACATTAGAAAGAGTTTCAACTGCCCCATTGTTGATACTCAAGAATGAATTGGATTTTTTCATAAATATTTCATTTTCTCTCTAGAAATTCGTAAAGCCTGAACACTGTTAATTGCTCTAGATATTTAATTGACCATTCAAAACAATAACTTACAGGATACAACAAATTGGATGTAGTCAAATGGCCTTTTGTAATTTTCTTATGTTTCTTTCTATCGCTAAAATAAAAATAAAATTTAGATACATCCTTGAGAATACATTCGATAAACCAGTTATTACGCTACTATGAAATAATTACTATGGATACAAAATTGCTGGAACTATGAAATAATTAGATTCTCTTAACAAAACACAAACAGGTCCACCATATGTTAGCTCAACAGCCTAAATATTTCAAATGAAAAAACATTGGCAGTAGAATCAAATCTCTACTGCATTAGTATACAGTAATTAGCAAGGTATGTTTTCCCAGACGTTTTCTGCTATAAGCGGACATCAATTGGATAAACTCCAAATCTTTTTAGCTGAATATCAAAACTGATAAGTCTTGTCGATTGAACGCTATATTCGTTTCCTAAGCTATTCCGGTAACCCACAAGCTAGAACTACACAGCGACCTGAACACCAGAGAGAAGACGCAAAGTATGAGAGAAATACTTTACTCCAAGGTTCGTTTTTGTACAGAAAAACACGGTTATTTATATAAGTTAACGTTTGTTAAATCAACATATTTCGGCCAATCCGTTAGCGGCATATTATGCTACTGACCAATAGTAGCACGCCACGTTGGAATTCTAGAATGCTCCATCGTGCTGTGATTAGCCAGGACTCTTCGGCTCTTTTTAAGCCTCTGGAGGCTCCGCTGAAGTTCTCCGAAAGCCGACTCAACAAAAACCTTAAAACTACTACATTAAACTTTAAGCAGATTTTAGTTAAGAAGGTAAAATTCTATTTTTTTAAATAAATAATATATTTGTAATGTCACAATGGGTAAAAAATTAAATAATCTGACGTTTCGTGACTTAGTGTAAGCACTTCTTCAGAGGATAAATAACCAAATTAAAATTAATCCAAGTTTAAATAGTACAACGGGACAAAAACTCCATTTTATTTTCAACAGTAAAATTAAGATAGCTTCACATTAACGTTTAAATTAAGTGACATTATTTAATATTAATGTTTAAATTCAGTTTAAAAATCAATGTAATTGAAAACTAAATATAATTAATGAGAGTAAAGTTGTACAGAATGATGAGGTAATCAGTAAAATGGAAAACAAATTCAAAGAGATCAAGTTTTTATATATATCGTGAGTGAATTTTCTGTGCGTGAACTCTTAGGGATACATGAAACACGTCAATTTAAATAATTTCAATTTTTCTTTTTAATTCCCAGATATGTTTCAGTACTATTCACTCTTCCAGTTTTTCACGTGTTTCCGTTAATTAAATAACTTTAATTGTTTTTTAATTTCTCAATTTTATGTTGTTAGCAAGAGAAACTAAAACTGTTATTTTAACAAAAATGCTTACAAGTAAATCAGTCAATTTAAGTAAGTCACACTATATGAAAGCATTTAAGGAATCATATGTGGAGTAACAAGTCAGCTGGTAGAAAGTGTACTTTTAAAACTCAAAATAAAAGCTTGACATAAAATTTAGAAGAAAATAGGAGAGAAACTATAGAATAATGTTTTATTCAGAAGGAAATACAAATAATCCATTCAGGAAATATTTTTCTAAAATCAGGAGAATAAACTGCAGTAAATTTTTGAATTTTGAGTTAAGTGCTATTACTAAATTACAACTCAATTTATTGTTGGATACAATGAATTTATGATATGTTATTGTATAACTAAGAAATTAGTTAAAGAAGGAATAACAATAGTGCCTTGCTTTACTGACGTGAACAGTCGTAAATCTAATATGTTTAGCAAAATTTTCGTGTTACATGGTCGTTATCCATCAAACGGAAAAGTGTGAAATGAACTGGAACTAAGCACATATGAAACAACCTACTCTTCAAAACTTCAAGAGATCAGGAGTAGTATTCTGTTCACGGAACTGATTAGTTTTTAAAAAAAAGCTCATAATATTATCTTGCTGTACAATCAAATACACGCCACTCAGTGAATTAGTGATCAGTTTACGAAAATAAAACATAAAGCTCACGGGAGAGAAATATTTGTCCGATTGATTAATTCCTTTTTCTTACACTTATTCCGGTGCTGATCAGTTGAATATTAACAAGAAGTACGTGTATCTGAGTAACTAAGTGATGTTCGTGAAGAGGAAACAAACCCAGTTAATAGTGAAAATTCTCATTTTGAAATTTGGTAAATAAAGAAGGGACAAATCAAGCGAAGAAATTTTTTTTCAATTAGTTATCCATCATGGCTCTACACTAATATATATATATATATATATATATATATATATATATATATATATATATATATATATATATATATATATACTGCTGAGTCCCATACCAAGACGAAACGGCCGTCCATGTTGATCTAGCTTCAATCGACTCATGAATCTAACTATTAAATTACTTTTACCTCGAAGCTCAAGCTACGCTTATACGCTGGCTAATTCAGTAACACTGTATATGTATTGCAGAATTCTTGCAATCAGTGGTTACAGTATGGAAAAATTAAAATTACGATTCTGTTGAAATTATTGAAACATACACAGAATCGCAAATGACAAAATGAGGTAAACATAGTAGGGAACATTGATGAAGGTAGAATAAGCAAAGGAGAATGACAGAAAGATATTGGTATCATTATCCTTGACAAGCAAATAATAATTTGCAAACTGAAAGAACCATGACACTGATAACCATTTATTACTGTCAGTATGGAGTACAGTTTTTCGAAATCAACTCAATAACGGACATCTGAGTTGATCGATAGAAAAAAAGGACGACGTTGACCAATGACTGTAATTTGGTTTAAATATACATATATATGATGGAGTTTAAAAAGATGGAAAAAAACAATAACGGATAAACCTCGAAAATAATTCAAAAACAAGAATTTGAAGACTGTAGTAGTAGTAGTAAATAAACATACATTCGGACGCCCCACGATCGTAGTACTTTTCGAACTTAAAGCGGTGAGGTTCTATGGCAGTGTTTTTCATTGAAAGGAGTACCAAAGAAGTACATTAACCTTTTAAAGGCTCTTGTGACAACCTCTTGTGACAATCACAGAGGAATCAGTTTGACTAATATAGTGTCTAAAATATTAGCCTCAATAATACTTCGACGCCTAATCAAAGCTCGTGAAGAGCAGATTAGAGAAAACCAGGTCGGTTTTCGACCTGGACGTGGTTGCATAGATCAGATATTCACACTACGTCAGGTTCTAGAACACAGACACACATTCAGACGCCCCACAATGGTAGTATTTCTCGACCTTAAGGCGGCATTCGACTCTGTTGATCGTGAGGTTCAATGGCAGTGTTTGTCACTGAAAGGAGTACCAAAGAAGTACATTAACCTTGTAAAGGCTCTCTACTCGAACACAAATGGTAGAGTGAGAGCTTATGGCGAACTGTCATCAGAATTGATTACCTCAAGTGGTGTTCGTCAGGGCTGTCCACTCTCCCCATTCTTGTTCAACTTTGTGTTCGACGTACTTTTAGAGATAACACTCTCCTCATCTAAATTTACAGGGGTTGAACTTCTACCAGGAGGTTCACTTGTTGACTTAGAATATGCTGATGACATAGTTTTATTTGGTGAAGACGCTGACAAAATACAGAGTCTTCTGACCACTCTAAGCAACAATGCAAGCATGTTCGGGATGCGATTCTCTCCCTCCAAATGCAAAATGTTGCTTCAGGATTGGGTTACATCGACACCCGAACTAGTGATAGGGAGTGAAGTAGTTGAGTGTGTCGACCGCTTCACTTATCTTGGAAGTCTCATCAGCCCTTGTGGTCTGGTGTGTGACAAAATCTTAGCACGGATACAGAAGGCTCGGCTGGCTTTCGCCAACTTGCGTCATTTATGGCGTAGGCGAGATATCCGTCCATCAACTAAAGGACGTGTTTACTGCGCAGCAGTTCGTTCCGTCCTAATTTATGGAAGTGAAACATGGCCGGTAAGAGTAGAGGATATTCGTAGGTTACTAGTATTCGATCATAGGTGTCTTCGAAACACTGCTCGTATATCCTGGGACCACCGAGTAAGTAATGCAGTTGTTAGGAAACGGGTACTAGGTAAGGATGGCAAATCAATTGATGGAGCAGTGAAACTTCATCAGTTGAGTTGGCTGGGACATGTGTTACGTATGCTCAACCACTGACTGCCCCGACGTGCGATGTTTCATGGTGTAGGAGTAGATTGAAAGAAAGCTGGGGGCGGCCAGACCAAAACATGGTTCAAATCCATAACGTCACTGACAAGTGGAGTGAGTCATGTTGGTAGGTGTAGACTATCTGGTTGGGATCTGCGAGACGATAGCAACCGGTGGTTAGAGACCTTGAATGACATGGCTCAGAATCGTTTGCAATGACACAGGTGCATCCACTCTCTGTGTTCTCCCAAATTCTAATCTTCTGAGTTCTTCATGTCCCCTTTTTCCCTTTCCAAATCTATTTCACTGGATTATACTCCTTGAATAACATCTTCAAACCCTAATTTTTCTGATTACTGCTTATACTTTTACTACCTCTACCACTATGGAATATGAATCGACAATTGTATCTCTATGCTAATGTGGTATGGCGACTCGAACTGATGTACGTATGCATGAAGTTCTACTTTGTTGCTAACTGACTGACTGACTGAGCAAATAATAAAATTTTTATCAGTGAGGTAGTCTAGCATAGCACATTATTGCATATTCTAAACTGTCGTCAGATTATGAAGTCATTTTCTGAATTTTAAGATCAAATTCTTTGGACACAGTGCAATAATTAAGTTCATCATGGATGAAAAAGTACATCCTCAAATTTGAACAGTCAAATGTTAAGCATCATTTCATTTTGTGTCTTGTATTACAAGACTTAAAGATCATTTATTGAAACATAGCAGGATGTTACTCTATAAATTATCCTGATTCAAGAAAAAACATTAAGGAGACGTTGGTAATTACCCTACTTTAACACATATACTTGTTGATACATGAATTATCTTCATCTTATCACGAATTTCTTATTCATCATTAAATTTAGAATTGGAACTTCAAAATTTCTCTTACATAGAATATTCACAGTCCGATTTGTTGTTTAAAGAAATGATATACAAACAAATTATTTGCCACTTAAATTCAATAAATAGTACTAATGTAGAGTGCATACTAACTAAAGCTTCTTTTAATACAGGTATCATTACCAAGGTTTGATTTGATAATTTCGAATAAATTGAGCATTGGGTCGATTGTTATAAATAAATAGTATATTTGTAATATCTCAGTGAGTAGGAAAATTAGATTTTCTGACGTTTCGTGGCTTAGTGTAAGTCATTTCTTCAGAGAATAAATAACCAAATTAAAATTAATCCAAGTTTAAATAGTACAACGGAACAATAATAATACAATAATAATAATGTATAAAATATAAATTGTGAGAGAAAAACTTACTTAGGTGTAAAGAATGAGTAGCCGACAGGACGTGAAGAACTTTTCTTACGATATCCAGTATCATCATCTGGAGAAAATAGTACACAACAAATTTCAGTATATAAAACAGTGAAGTTGTTTGGAATAATTGGTAATTATTAAAATAATTCGATAAATCGTATGGAACCATAAGTTAATAGATGGAAATATTATATTTGGAATAATTTAAAACTTAAATAATTTCAGTATTTCACCGGGCAAACCAATCCGAACTACCTTAGGGACCCAGTTAGGCAAGCAAAACGTAAGGATTATTTAGATGTCAAAAAGTGGAATTATTTTAAATATAATATTACATAGATTGTTTCCTATACATTTCGTGCCAAACTGATCGTTTAAATTTTCATATGATATAAGCTTGAGCAACCAAATGCTTTTAAACTACGAATGTAAGTTTAAATGTTGTAATGTGGAGACATGGTGAGTACTTGATTGGATAGAAGAATTCCTTCATTCGATTTGTGCTATTCTTTTGCGTAAAAGTAAACCGATTAGATTAAATAACATTTACAAAGAGTAAAATAATGGTAATTGTATATGTTTACTACAGGGATCTAAGTTTGGTCCTATTTCTGTAATAGACTTTGTCGACCTATACTGAATCCCAAAGATTGTGTTTAATGTCCACATGGTTTACACCAATATATTTCATTAACACAAAACTACTGAATACAGAAAATGAAGTTTAATTACATAATCCCGATAAATAAGAGGATTAAATTAATTGTATAGTGGTTGCTAAAATCCTGAAAAATGCAATGACATTCAACATTATAACACAGTTGAGATTTAAGTTTCTAAATAACTTTAGCCACAGTTCTAAATATATATATGCACAGATAGTAGTAAAGCATTTTGTTATCCCTTTGTCAAGTTCACCATCCTATTTTACATTAGCAATAGCTAAATAAACTGGAATTCGAAGTATGTGGACAATTCAGAGAGTACAGGAATTCAGGTAAGCAAAGAATGTTTCACTTTACAAATTTAACAACAAGCAGTTTAATTTTTATTTCTTCGTATAATGATAACTAATTTTTTTGTAAATAACTAATTAGGGGTTCTAAAATAATCCCTAACCAGCTCCTTCTGAGTCCTTGGACTTAAAGCAGTCAGGTAACAACTTTACACGATATAGGAGGTTAATACAATCACTTTTGACAATGTTTCTGAAATGGTTGGACTCTGAATTTCCCTATATGATAGTAAACTCTGGTAACTAGGAGTGTTTTGTCAACAATTCTGTCCACTATATTACTAATTTCAGTTCACTTCAGTTCAATTCTTTTCTTGCACTCTACACACTTTAAAATAATTCAGGACTGAATTGTGGCCAGAACCGATGATCATGCAAAAATTGTGGCATTATAATGAGCGCATAGTGTTACAAAGTGATGTAAATGCATTTAAACCCATGTGATCGGGCTGTTTTCATGGAACCTATAACCTTAGAATAACCAATCACAAAAAGGAGTGTCTTTGACCAATAAATAACTCAACGGAGGTGAGATAACGACTGAGTACAGTACTTAACGCCCATTGGTTCAAAATGCAGCCATTCGCTCTCTCTTCCCGAAATACAGCACAGAACAAGAGTATAACAGGCAAATAAACTCCTACTGTACAGTTCAAATCGTAACTCAAAACTCGTGGAAAAAGATGGACTAATTACCTGACTGAACAGCCGTATACATAAAAAAACAATGTAACCAAGACTACATAGATGAATAGACCTGTAATATACTAACAGTAACTTAAAGAAGGTACAACACAACAACATCTAATGAATCACCAATGAATAACATATACAGAAGATTAAAAAATGCTGAACACAAATTGGAAGAAAATATTGTCACTTACGTGAAATATCATTGACTTTCACTGAAATATTTTCATCACTCTGTGATCGAGGTTTACCAACTCGTAACAATTGACGACCGAAAGATCTAATTAAAAATGTTACAACAGATGGTAACGGCCATACAAAATGTAAACTAAACACATCTTTAAGACATGCAAAAGTGATGACTTTTATACATTCAAAGGCTTGAAAAAAATGAAATATTTTGATAAGCTAACGAAATCACGATTTGTATGATACCACACTTAAGTGTAAAATGAATACCAACCTGATTACTAGACACAGTGTAGACATATAAGTTGTACATTAATCTATTGGTTGAAGACCATCCGATAAGTGACTGCATAAACCCTTAATTTTGTATTTGTAAGATGCGCTAATATGGTACATGTTTAAGTCAAATCAGGAGTATTTATACAGGATTATAAATTTAAAGTACAAAAATACTAATGCTATTGCTTTAATCTCATATGCGTAAAGCTTTGAACACATGGTTTTTAATAATCATCCATATTTAATAGTCTAGTTTCACATCGAACGCATTCTGAGTCTAACTTGCAAGGTAATGATTGCGCAATGCTGAGGAGTCCCGTAGAAGGAGGAAACGGCTGTCAAGTGCGTCTAGGTATTCAGTGATGGTCTATCATTGATCTACTCATGATATCATTCTAAACTCAACAATCTCCAAATACTATACTGATTTAATTTTTGGTAAACGTGGATGTATACTATTTTAGGCGATTGAAACTACACTACCTCCAGTATTTTGTACTTTAAATTGATAATCCTGTATAAATACTCCTGATTTGACTTAAACATGTACCATATTAGCGCATCTTACAAATACAAAATTAAGGGTTTATGCAGTCACTTATCGGATGGTCTTCAACCAATAGATTAATGTACAACTTATATGTCTACACTGTGTCTAGTAATCAGGTTGGTATTCATTTTACACTTAAGTGTGGTATCATACAAATCGTGATTTCGTTAGCTTATCAAAATATTTCATTTTTTTCAAGCCTTTGAATGTATAAAAGTCATCACTTTTGCATGTCTTAAAGATGTGTTTAGTTTACATTTTGTATGGCCGTTACCATCTGTTGTAACATTTTTAATTAGATCTTTCGGTCGTCAATTGTTACGAGTTGGTAAACCTCGATCACAGAGTGATGAAAATATTTCAGTGAAAGTCAATGATATTTCACGTAAGTGACAATATTTTCTTCCAATTTGTGTTCAGCATTTTTTAATCTTCTGTATATGTTATTCATTGGTTCCCTCCATTCTGAAATTCTGAGGAAACTTAAATAATTCATATAATTGAGTGAAGCATTACAATTATTCTCATGGTTCATTTACAGAACAACAATATAATGTATCAAGTTCAAAGATTAAAGAAATGGCTATATATGATACGAAACATAAGTTTATCAAAAAACATAGTGTACAGTTGAGGATTATAAAACAGTTTGCAGATTTTATTGAATATTCCGAATTCTTTCGCTTTATTAACTGTTTATGATGTAATTAAACTTGAAGGAATTCCCCCTTTTTTCATATCCAGTAATATAAATCAGTTTAATACTTTTTCAATTGTACTCATGATACAGCTCTAAGCACACTAACTGAAGGTTAGTGTTCGTAGTTTCAGTCATCAATAAGTTACAACACTTCGTTGTTAATCACTCATTTTAGGTTTTAAAAGCTATGATTTCATAATAATGCAATTTGAAACAGTTATTACTCAGTTAAAAATTAGTGATTGAACTGAGTCATCTTTTGCCAAATAAATCACATGTAACCCAGTTATTTAAAGCTATGGTATTCGTTTATTTGTAACAAGTTTTGCATTGATAAAATCCACATCATCAACAGATAAGAACAACTTGTTTTTCTTTGTAGATGTCTAACGCGATCGTGTATACTAAGAAGTCTGTAAGTTAGCATCAACTATTTCTTACTAGTTAGTCCTTACCTTTTTAAACTAGTTAGTCAACTGGCGTATTACAGTCCTTAATAGAAATATATTTTACAAACTTCCTGATTTGATTTAAACCCTATTTAAATGACAAAGACTAGTGACAAAAAACAAGTTCACTTGCATACAAGTTTATATTTTTGTAAATGTTCCAAATTAAAAATAATGTTGATAAATCATTATATGTGAAAATTATATTTGAAATATTCTCAGCGATTGAAATTTAACTAATTCCAACGTTTCGTCCAGCTAACTTGTCTGGACTTCTTCAGGGTAATAATCAAAATCAAAATTATCAAAGAAATATATAGCTTTTTAACAATCAGGAATATACTGTGTTAAACCAATCATATTTGGGTGTTCATTGGTTTAACACAGTATAATCCTGATTGTTAAAAAGCTATATATTTCTTTGATAATTTTGATTTTGATTATTACCCTGAAGAAGTCCAGACAAGTTAGCTGGACGAAACGTTGGAATTAGTTAAATTTCAATCGCTGAGAATATTTCAAATATAATTTTCACATATAATGACTTCTCTATACTCGGCGCTCAATTGTTGTCAAACTATTCGTTCTAATCTTGACGAATATTCGTATAACTGTTGATAAATGTTCAGTTGGCTGAGTATACTGATGTGTATGATTTGTTTATTGTTTATCTATTTTTAAGTGAAATGTGACGAATTCTATTGTTTTGACGGTATACATGTAATATAAGATGAGAAAAAAATCTGTTTATGAAGTTTTTGGAAAAAATAAACAATGGAAATGTTTTTGTCTAATAACTTTATGTTGTTTAATAAAACGACTAAGAGTGTTTTTTAAGTTTCGTATCTGTATCGAAATACGCTTGGGCTTGGAGCACACACCACTGTCATATTATGTACTGATTTAAAATAAATTTGAACTTAATTTTATCACATACATGAACAAAACTACTATCTGGACGATTGGTTGATTGATTGACCTGAGCGTTCAATGTTGTCGAAAGTAGCTATGAGGTCAGATCAGAAACCAGAATTAGTTTATCATTACTGCATACATAACCAGTGTAAATTAATGACGAAAAATATTGTGAATTAGATTATTTGGTATTACAACTTACTTTGATAATTGTAATTGGTAATATTTATTCTATTTTAGCTCTTCCTTCTACATCTACGGTCACTAGTCATCAACAGTTACCTTGTGATGGCAGTATTACCAGTGATTACACTAATCAAATGTCAGCACCATTTGATGTTTACCACAGTCATGAATTAGCAAAAAGATTACCGGCACATATATCGGATCCAAACGGTGATTTGTGTAAAACACCTGCAAGACAGTCGAATACTCTGCCGGTTAAATGTATTCATTATTCTAAGACAACCGGTAATTTTGATACATTGTTTAACTCAACTCAATTTCCTACCAGTGGTCAATACCTCTGTAGTTTCAATATGAAGCTTATTCAGTCATCTAGATCATCGCTAGCTGCATCAATATCGCATAAACATAAAACAACTGAGCCAATTATGTCAACCAAGATACTTACACTGAATAAATCAATGTCCACTTCACATCCTACAGCACCGCATTCATATCTTCATTTGTTTCATAGCGATCCTGTTTGTGATGTGTATCATGTTTCAAAAGCAGTTACCACTCCAAACACTGATGTTTTAAACTTTGTATTCACTGATTTAGAGTAAGTGGGGTTTATTGAACATTTCTATTCATTGATTTGTCATTATGGGGATAGTTTTCAGTTTTAAAAGATACTAAATATGTCGGTTAAATTGACGTGATAGTTTAACTCTTGTGAAACACTTTTATACTGATTGATGTGTAGTATTTATCCTTTGAGATTTTCAGATAAAAATAAGTCATTGATGTTTAACGTTAATTTAAGTTGTATTTAGTTATTGTTTACTAAGTGTAAACAACATGCTGTTAATTCCAGTGACACATCCATCGAAACTTTCTCTCTGACAATTTGTCATTTTCATTTGTTTTGATCTGGTAAATGTTTTCTCCTTTGTTTGAAATCTGAGTATTTAGAATTATCTAATCGTGTTGAGGATTCAGTGTTTTTTATGCTTGTTCACTAACACCATTTCTGGTTATTCATTCTAAATATTTGAATAGTAACAATTTCGGAGAGATGACCCGTTGATTAAGGCTCTTGATTTTCAGTCACTAAGTCAAGTGCTAGTTTCGAAACCCGCTCCGACTACTACTGGGCAAACGGGTAGTATCACTAACCCTCACATTTAAAGTGTAGCTCATAATCAAGTATGTGTCAAATGAATTAGTTTAAATTTTAATGACAATTTTGTGGTAGTATATCTATGGGTGAAAGTTGTAGGTTTGAATGAAGTGTTGATAATTTTTCTTGCTTACCTTTCATCAAACTTGTTGTATATTATCGCACAATTACTCAAATTAAGACTCCTAAGTGTACACCTGTGAACATATTCCAAAGAGTGAAGAGATCGAAAGTTATGATTATGTTGTTTATCCTTGACATACCTCTTAGGTTTATCATGAACGCAGAAATACTTACTAGGTTTTTATATATTCGACATTCCATTAATAAATAATGACATTTTACGCTGTTGAGTGGGAAAACATGTTGTAGCATCTTTAAAAATGATGACAACTATAATGCTGCTTCCCAATAGATCACACGTTTTTATTTTAACTATACTACTTTCAGAGGAAATCGTGGTGAACTTTTTCGGTTACGTTTCACTTGTAATTTTATTGTCAGTTCGTAATGTGAATTCCTCAAACATAAACTCCAATGACCACATGTGTCAATAAATGAATATTCATGTTTGTCATTTTATTCGACGTTTTGTTTTCTACTTTGTCATTTTTCACCCATACAATGATCTGTCAAGTCCAAATCCTTCGTCCGTTATAGTCTTTTGGGAAAGGATAGTAGCAAACGGCAGTTCTTGGTATACTTCTGGCACCGTAAATATTGTTATATATGCTTATCATCATTAAAATGAAAAATTCCAACCTGATGGTAGTATACATATGATAGTTCACAATCATGCTTTTATTTTTTTAAAATACCTAACGCGTCCTCAACAGCCGAGACCTTTAACTCTCTCGTCGTTTCACACTGCCATTCAAAAGAATGTAAGATTTATATATTGAACAGTAAAAGAAGCTGCAATAAAAATGAAAGAATTCGTAGTAATAATCAAATGCATCAAGAAATCGTAACTTTCATTTGTTATTAGCTAAATAAAGACAGATCACCCGGTTCAAACTGATTCAAGATAAATGATTTGTTACCTACAATTGTTTATTTATTCAGTAAAGTCAATGAGTGACAGTCTTAGTTTGTCGCTTCACATATTCATTAGATATAGTCTATAGATTGTTGATTGAAGTGCATATACAAAACATATACTTGCCTGTTAATACATCATTACATACCGATATTCGACCATCAAGAAAAACACGGAAGAAATGGAAAGGAATTAAACAATGTATCAAAATTACCGGTTGTCTTAGAATAATGAATACATTTAACCGGCAGAGTATTCGACTGTCTTGCAGGTGTTTTACACAAATCACCGTTTGGATCCGATATATGTGCCGGTAATCTTTTTGCTAATTCATGACTGTGGTAAACATCAAATGGTGCTGACATTTGATTAGTGTAATCACTGGTAATACTGCCATCACAAGGTAACTGTTGATGACTAGTGACCGTAGATGTAGAAGGAAGAGCTAAAATAGAATAAATATTACCAATTACAATTATCAAAGTAAGTTGTAATACCAAATAATCTAATTCACAATATTTTTCGTCATTAATTTACACTGGTTATGTATGCAGTAATGATAAACTAATTCTGGTTTCTGATCTGACCTCATAGCTACTTTCGACAACATTGAACGCTCAGGTCAATCAATCAACCAATCGTCCAGATAGTAGTTTTGTTCATGTATGTGATAAAATTAAGTTCAAATTTATTTTAAATCAGTACATAATATGACAGTGGTGTGTGCTCCAAGCCCAAGCGTATTTCGATACAGATACGAAACTTAAAAAACACTCTTAGTCGTTTTATTAAACAACATAAAGTTATTAGACAAAAACATTTCCATTGTTTATTTTTTCCAAAAACTTCATAAACAGATTTTTTTCTCATCTTATATTACATGTATACCGTCAAAACAATAGAATTCGTCACATTTCACTTAAAAATAGATAAACAATAAACAAATCATACACATCAGTATACTCAGCCAACTGAACATTTATCAACAGTTATACGAATATTCGTCAAGATTAGAACGAATAGTTTGACAACAATTGAGCGCCGAGTATAGAGAAGTCATTATATGTGAAAATTATATTTGAAATATTCTCAGCGATTGAAATTTAACTAATTCCAACGTTTCGTCCAGCTAACTTGTCTGGACTTCTTCAGGGTAATAATCAAAATCAAAATTATCAAAGAAATATATAGCTTTTTAACAATCAGGATTATACTGTGTTAAACCAATGAACACCCAAATATGATTGGTTTAACACAGTATATTCCTGATTGTTAAAAAGCTATATATTTCTTTGATAATTTTGATTTTGATTATTACCCTGAAGAAGTCCAGACAAGTTAGCTGGACGAAACGTTGGAATTAGTTAAATTTCAATCGCTGAGAATATTTCAAATATAATTTTCACATATAATGATTTATCAACATTATTTTTAATTTGGAACATTTACAAAAATATAAACTTGTATGCAAGTGAACTTGTTTTTTGTCACTAGTCTTTGTCATTTAAATAGGGTTTAAATCAAATCAGGAAGTTTGTAAAATATATTTCTATTAAGGACTGTAATACGCCAGTTGACTAACTAGTTTAAAAAGGTAAGGAGTAACTAGTAAGAAATAGTTAATGCTAACTTACAGACTTCTTAGTATACACGATCGCGTTAGACATCTACAAAGAAAAACAAGTTGTTCTTATCTGTTGATGATGGGGATTTTATCAATGCAAAACTTGTTACAAATAAACGAATACCATAGCTTTAAATAACTGGGTTACATGTGATTTATTTGGCAAAAGATGACTCAGTTCAATCACTAATTTTTAACTGAGTAACAACTGTTTCAAATTGCATTATTATGAAATCATAGCTTTTAAAACCTAAAATGAGTGATTAACAACGAAGTGTTGTAACTTATTGATGACTGAAACTACGAACACTAACCTTCAGTTAGTGTGCTTAGAGCTGTATCATAAGTACAATTGAAAAAGTATTAAACTGAATTATATTACTGGATATGAAAAAAGGGGGAATTCCTTCAAGTTTAATTACATCATAAACAGTTAATAAAGCGAAAGAATTCGGAATATTCAATAAAATCTGCAAACTGTTTTATAATCCTCAACTGTACACTATGTTTTTTGATTAACTTATAATTTCCACATATTAGTATCAAACAACTTACATGTTGTGGATTTTGAAATAACATAACGCGTTGTTTGTAATTGTTCATTTAATGCTTTTAATTGTTTTTTAAGTGTTTTCAACTTTTCACTATAAATACGTTTAATTTCACTTTCACGAAAAGCAGATTGATCATTTGATATCGATGACAATGACAATAAGGAGGAAGATGATTTATTTTTACTAATTTCAGGTTTCGATACTTCAGCTAATTGTTCAAATAATCGATCATTCAATTCTGAAAAAAAAGAATAATACATTATGAAATCAAAATAACAATAGGAACAAAAATTCAGTAAGTCTGAGCTTATGAATTAGATTGTCATTTGGCATTGTTACTTGAAATGAAGTAGGTGTGACGAGGTTCAAATATAAAAGCATTGAATAGACTACATGTACGCAAAACGATTTTGATTGAGTAACTTTGATAGGGTGAGTGCTGTTGAGAAGTCACTAATCAGGACAAAGCAGCTTTTCCCATTTGTTTTCTAGCTGATAAGAGTATGTAGCAGGAATTGACATTGAACTGAACTAATCTCCATTATCTTACTTTTCATGATAGTTGGGAGTTGTAAAGCTGTAAGTTCAGGTGTTTTTACTTATTAAAACTGAACATATTTTTGGGTAGCGTATTTGAATTTTTGTCTTACCTTCACATAACCTAATGTACTCACCTGTAGGTGATTACTAAACTGGCTTGTCTTTATACATTGAATGGTAATGGAATCTATTAAACTATATAAAGCTATCATTTTGAAACTAACTAGAAAGAACTAGAAAACAAAGACATTTTTTTAAAAATTGTATGCAATGAGAATACTATGATTAATAAATAGGATAAAGTGTTCATCATTTAATATTGGTAAATAAACGTAGTATTGTTTAGTCATGTTGGTTATTCACACATACATTATACAAGTTACGCAAAAACCCATGTTCAATATGTACGTCACGCTTAAACTGAACATTGGAAAATAATTGATGCGGTAATATTTTAATATATTAATTTAAATCAATTAATGAAGATAAACATTCGCAACAAATATAGCAACGTCGGAAACTACAGTCAAGCAATTAGAAAGACAAATTTTAATAAACTAATAAAATAAACGGGATGGCTTTTTCAAAGAATGAATGAACAAGTACAAATAACTGAACAACTGATTGAAAACTCGATATGCATAAGTAATTGTGAAGAAAAATTACTTTTATTAATTAAAATCAATACAGAAAAATATAAATAAAGTTTTACTGAAAGTATTGTATTGAAGTAATACCAGTGCGGAGGATACTCATCTTAAAATTATACATGATGGGAAAAATACATTTTGCATTCACTGAAACTAGAGCGTAAACTGAAATTGGCATTCCGCTTATTGATCTTAGTCATTTTCCTTCTGTACAATTAAATTTGTTGTGTTTTTTAAAAAGACATCAGTGAGTGAAATAACAAAGTTTCCATAGGCGACAAGTAGTCGTTGGTTTGCGCTACAGTGATAGATGTAGACAACCTAATTGAGGTACGTGTGATAACTGGCATCAGTAGTTGAACACCTAGACTGAGATATATCAGAATAGTTCACAATAGCACAAAAGCACTCACTCGCCATCTTCCTAACGATCTTAAACTCCAGTATTCCTTCATACATACCTTCGTCCACTTTGCCTTACAGAACCATATTCTCAATGTTTAATCTCACTGTCATTGTTACTACCTACATCATATCAATTTCAATCATAATTCATCTTGTAGTGTTAATGTAGTGTGGCAACTTGGGCCAACGCATATGCATCAAGCGTCATGATAAGGATATCTGTTTGTTGAAAAAGTCATATGGTTCTCTACTAGACCTCTCGTAGACGAACAAATGCTTGGTGAATATATACTAGAAAAATGTTGGATGGCAAGCAATGTCGTGAAAATAAACATGCTTTTTTCATTAAATTGTGAGTAGTACAGAAACATATTCCTTAAGAGAATATGTAAATTCAAATTCCAACGCGGAACTAATTTTTTTAGAAAAAAAATGAACGTATAGGCCAAGCAACCTACCACATTACATGAAAATATACTAATTTCTTAATCTTCTAACTGTTAGTCATAAATTCATCAAATAAAAGTACAACTATACATTAAGAAAAACTCGTAATAAGTGAAGACGATTCAAAATTAACGGCATTTTCGAAAGGTCAATGTGTCAAACACCAGGTTAATTGTCCATATGCAAATAAATGCTGATCAGTATATTTTCTTTAATACCTTGGATACATGATCATAACACTTTCTGATGACAATTGATTATCAACGACCAAATAGCAACTTACATTCATTATAATATTATTTTAAATAGCCATGATTATAATAGCCTTTAAAATTACCAAATATTATGTATATATATATATATATCATTCACATGTTTAATTGATTACCTAAAAATGTTAACCTAGTTTAAAAGTCCATGTACATATAGCATGTGAAACTTTCGCAATAATAATAACAGGCAAAGAAGTAAAAGAAAATAGAAGGAAAGAAAATATACACAATATAAACTTCAAAGTGATTTGGATTCTGAAAGTTTTATTATAGCAAAAAAAGAAAGAGTAACCCATTACAGTGAATTTCGATACAAAAAAGTTGTTTAAACACATTTCGCCTAATTAGTTTGTAAAATACATGTGTTCAAATAATCAATTCTGGGTTATTTAAAACAATAGTTATTTAATGCTATTATTTCAACTATAAACACAATAAAGTGGATGATGTACTTAATGTACCAACTTACATTTAAAACAGAAAAAACAAAGATTTATAGAAATATTTTGGCAATAACAATGTGACTTTATAATATTTAAAAGAATAAGTCATATAAGCCCCAAGTACTAGTCACTTCAATCTACCAGGGTAAATGGAATAGTGGAAGAGGGGTATAGGTCACTAGAACTGGAACTGACGCTAAAACCATGGTTTCAGTTGATTTGGAAACCATATGACATACCATACTTCTCTACTACCGCTTGTTTTAGTTGCTGTTTATTTTGAATATTTCCCCGAACAAGCTCAGATAAGATTGCCAAGTGAAACGTCGGAATTAATTTCGATCGTTGACATATCAAGTAACATTCATTTTTCATAAATGAAATGCTTTGGAAAGTTCTAAAAATGACTAACAAACAAATCAAATTGCATAGTTGGAGCTACGATTCTGTGGCTTGAACACTGAATTCCCAAATAGTGAGCTGTAGATTTAAAAACCTCCCTCTTTCATAGGTATTAAATTACAGAATCAAGTGGTTGTTTACCCTACACACATACATATACAAACAAAATCTATGACACGAATCAATGCTTCACTAATTTAAATGTAAGCTGATAGGACGAAGCGTCACTGTATACCTACCTATATTAGGTGACAACCAATTCAAGAACAAGGTAAAATCATCATCAATGACACCATAAACCAGTAACCATATATGATAAATTGGTTGAAATTTGTATAAAAGATAATTCTAGACTGATGTTTTAAAATTCTAAGCGTAACTTTAGTAAGCTAGTAACAGAACCTGTCGCTTCTAATCACGGCAAGCGAAGTACGGTTCGAATCTGTGATCAGGATATGACAGTCAAGTGATTTAAATACTGATCACTAGTTTCATGGCTTTAATTAGGAACTAAACTGATAATGGAGAACCGAACTACACTAAATGAAAGTCCCAAATTTGACAGCATGAGTGACAAAATATAAACAATCTATAAAGGAAACGAAAAAGTGACATTTAGGAAATCATGCATTCTAAACATAAAAAACTCTATACTATTATGAGAAATGAATTTTCTTTGAAGTAAAAAACATACCCTTCTGTTCATTTAAGTTGTCCTTTATTGCAGTTTCAAGCTGCATTACATCATGTTGTAATTGTTGCATTTTAAAGGCTGTCAATTCAGAATCAATAGGATTGGCAGTATCATCATGGCAAGTAGAATTACCGCTGCCAGGAGCAACATCAGCACCGACAAAATCAGAAACGGGTGATGACGAAGATGATAATACTGACTGCGAACTGATTGGTTTATAATCTTCCATTAATTTATTCAAACTATGTCCATTTGTACTAGTAACCGACTCCGTTTGAGGGGATGATTGTAAAGTATTACTTCGCTAGAAGGATTATTGAAAATAATAATAGAAATTAACAATGATTTGTCTTACAACTGTTTATATAATGATGTTAAAATTTCACTGTACAATTCCAGATTTAGAAAAATTACTATCCAAGTTTGTTTGTTTTTTAGAGGCATTTAACATATTCAAATTAATTTACATTGTTTTTTTGAGATTGCATCAAATGGAATTTTCAGTCAAGTGTAATATATGAAGAATTAAAGCCGTAAAAGCGATAGTTTTGAGCATAGATATCTACGATGATAACATTTCAAAGACTTTCAAAAAATAGGACTCAACGAAGTTAAGTACTCATCAAAAAGTAACATGCATGTAAGCATTATAAGTTTAAATCAAATTTATCGAATAGATTGAGAAATATTTAATTTCACTCCAGTTCATGATGATCCTGTGGTTAAGTATTTTGATGTTCATTTCACTGGCATCAGAATACACACATAATTATAAATGAGTATAACACTTTTTCTCCTATTATGAACCAGACAATAAATGATATTCATAAGTATAGTCACAGATATATTTGATAATCTTTGTTATTGAAGTTACTTTTAGACATGAAAAATAATAGTAGAGACTTTACTATTTTCATTATCGTATTTATACACAGAATGGATGAATGTATATACATAACAGAAGTGTACAGACTGCACACATATTGAGTTTTGGCATACTGTCTAAATAATAACACATTTGTAGTCATTTATGTATTTATGTGACCTATAATAAATTTAATTGTATAGTCTGATATTGATGTTATTATCGTATCAAAGTCGGATAAAAATGATTGCGTTTATATTCATTTAGCCTTAAAATTATTGAACAATGTATAGTGTATTATAAGAGGTAGGTATATAGAATGTGCACATAAATTTAGGCACCAGTGTATGTGTGCATCAGTTCATTACAGTAACAATCAACTATACTCCAATTGAATCATTGGCTAACTTAAAGTAATAATCCAACTTTATTACCGAAAATGTGATTAGTACAGTCATCATTACAACTATATTAAAACATAACATGAGAATTATGAATATTTTCAAGGTCTCGTGTATAAATAATAACCTACTGAAATAGATTTTCCTAAACAAATGGATATATTGTGTTAGAAAAGGCATACGAAATCTTGTGAATTTGGTTGTTATACACTAGTGTTAGCCATGTGATAAATTGACAAAAACTAATTGGGCTAGTTAATGGAGATTCAGTCGTCTAAACACAACAGATAAAATCCTACAGAAGTGTATTTGAAACAGATTAGATGATAATTTGTACAGCACACATCTTAAATTTATATGCCCAAATATACCGATGGATGACATAGCTAACTGCAACAAATAGCTGTTTAATTAAAGTTCATGAAATAAGAAAGGGATAGATAAGATTTTACAAAGTTTTTTTTTCCAATTCTAGTTTCGGGTAATTTATAAGAGTATGATAAATAACTTTGTTATCTTAAAAAAGAAAAACTGACTTGTCAGTCAGTCAGCTACAACGTAGGACCAAGCACATATACGTCGGTCCAAGTTGCCACACCTCATCAGCACAACAAGATGGACACCAGATTCATCAAAGTATTTACTTCAAAAGTAGTAATACGTAAAAGAACGGTTTCATACATGGATATGATACAGGAAGAAAGAATTAGTTCGTAGAAAGAAAGGTATAAAGTAATTTTAATCTCATGGCTTAACGGAAGATAAAGAGTGTATACACCTACGCCATTGTGATCGATTATGAGCCATGCCACAGTGTCTCCAACCATTGGTTACGATGGTCACGTAGACTCCAACCAGAGGAGGCCTACTGGCCGACTCAACACAGGGTGCAGCACAACATCGCCCTCTGACCTCAGGTTTGCTGCTTTTATTCTTACCATTCTTCAATCGACCTGCCTGGCATGGTAGGACCTTGAAGAACGAATGTTCCAGACAGTATAGCCCGATTGGTTCATCACGATAGGCAAGCCCGATCACCACGTCAAGGTAGTAGCAACGGTCGGGCTACTGACTTGTAGTTGGATTTAATGTGCGTAAACCTGAGTTGTTGATACTTTGACGGTTTACTAGCTGAATACAGACACGTGATAATTAATCCCTTTTCTAAGTTCACTTCAATTTACTACTGTCACAACTAAGCTTAATTTTATTCATTACAATGAAATGAATGGATGTAATTTGATGAGAATTAACAAACAGAAACAGATTAAAATACATGTTTTTAAGCAACAAATATTATATCAAAGCTCGAGATATACTTAGTCAGACAAATCGAAAGTAAATTTCTAACTCATGACTTAATGAATAAAGTAGGATTATACAATAGAAATTCCATACCCTAGTCCAGTTTTGATAGTGGTGTAAAATCTCGAGCTTTAACACATGTTTTTTTTCCAAATATTGCTACCAGAACGTATACTTGATCACCCGATCAAACTGAATTTTCTTGTATACATGCTGACATCAAAATGTACGTAAGAAATTGTACTTTAGTACAGCTAACAACTGTTTCATTTAAATAAAGTTTTGTAATCTACCCTAGTATGCACAAATTTTAAAAAAACTTTGACAAATACAACATGTTTGGACTTGGTTACCAAGTCAATAAGAATAATATGAACTTAACAGACAATATTATTCATTCTTTATTTAGCTTGTTTAACATTGACAGTTGTGTGTAATATCAACTTCCTTTACACTCTCGTATTCCAAACTCATGCCACTTTGAACGTCAATTTAATATTGATCTCTCCTTCGTCAAGGTTGAGATGTATAAAACACTAAATGATGCAGGTATACATGAGAGATAAAGACTTAACTATCACTGTACTTACAGTGATAATTAGATGTGATGCAACAACTTCACTGATGTAATTAAACTATATGGTGAGAATAGAGAGAAAATCATTACTTCAAATCAAACTCTTCGCATAGTGTTAGTGTTAGAATAGTGGTGATGAAGAAGAGTTTCACGGTGAGAAATATCAATACGTGAATTACCTTAGATCCTGTGGGGAACTAAAATGTTTCTAGCTAAAATTAATGAGACATAAGATGCGTTATATTCTATAATCAATACCAGTTATTCTAATAAAGTAGCTTCCTAATTCCCTAAAATAATTAGACAACTTGGTACTCGATTCTTACTTCTTGTCTGATTAATCAAAAGACTCATTGATTGGTTTTCTTTGTCCCTTTTTTTCTCTTTCCAAATCTACTTCACTGGATTATACTCCTTGAATAACATCTTCAAACCCTAATCTTTCCGATTACTGCTTATACTTTTACTACCTCTACCACTATGGGATATGAATCGACAATTGTATCTCTGTGCTAATGTGGTATGGCAACTCGAACTGATGTACGTACGCACGAAGTTCTAAGTTGTTGCTCACTGACTGATAGCGACAACGCATACCAAGCTTTAAAGTTAAAATAGCTATCGGCTCTCTAAAGCACCGGTTTATCACCTGGGAATGCGTAGCCAATGGAGTGGCTTACACTGAGTCACGAAACGTCAGAGAATTTAAATTTTCTACTCATTGGGATATTAAAAATATACTATTTTTGTTTATAACAATCTACCCAATGCTCAATTTATTTGAAATTATTAATTCAAACTTTGTTGATGATACCTACATAACCAATGAGTTGCCAACTGTAGTCTTAAATTATACTTCATTTATATTATTGGCAACGCTCACTAGGGAATATATATTTCATTTTAACAACAGTTATTACATTTTTGTATTGTAGTAAATATCATTACCTCAACATATGATTCAATCAGCTAATGATAATAAAAAGAAATGTCAATTATTTGTTACCATATATTACCAAGTTCTGGAATCGCCTATATATGCATAGATCGCGCTAAATGATAATGGTTATAATAATATATAACATAGTGAGTTAAGAACATTGATTTATGAAATGGTATGTAAACAAAGTTAAAAATGAACAACAGGTAAAATCAGGATAAATGTGCTTTATCATTGCTAGTGGAATTGATATACACTTGGTAGCTCATATATCTTAGCTCTTTTGTCTTAGTTATCAACAAGTGGTACCTGAGAAAACTAAACGGTAGGGAAAAAACCTACTTAACCAGCATTTTAATAAAACGTTGTTTGAGGATTTGACCGCGCATGAAGTACCATAGACGGTTTGAAAATACAGAACTCGTGGTTTGAAAATACAAGTTACCTGGAAGTTTTATAAGTGTACATTTTAATATTGGTTAATTTGTTCAAAAACGTGTTTAGGAAATAAAACTCTTTTTAAAAGATGCCACAATTGATGTTGACTGAACAAGTACAATAATTCTGTGAAGGTAAATCGCTAGCTAAATAATAATTCTTTTGAGTCTACGGACTCAAAACAATAAACCTATAGTAAACGTTTACGGGCAAATGAATGAAATTATTTTAGTGAGATTCAACGAAGTCACTTCTTGAGCCATTTCTGCTGTTTTCAATTTAACTCAAGTGAAGCGAAAACCATCTAATTATCCCCCAAAACGCCCTGATATGGCCGATGTTGGAGAGTTCGTTCACCCTCTCGAAATGCTCCCACATGACCACGCATATACAGCCACTTCCAGAGAAGTGACGGGTGTTGCTTAGTAAATTGAGAGGAGGAAAAGAGAACATCCGGTGCCTTAACCGGGTTGATGGACACGAAGGGTTTACCTAGGGGAGTTAGAAAACCCTCATTCCAAACCAGTGGTGTATATGGGCTCCAGGATACTGAGGGGACAAATGGTGTATGAACCTATTGGTCACCGGCTACTATGGGACCACACCTCCTAACGTTGCTTCACTGCCCTGTAGACTAGACCTTTAGATCAAAGGCTCCGGGTGCAGCCCCCTAAGAAAACCATCTGCTTCGGTTTGGGCACCCGGGCAGTATCACAGCCCTTACACAAGTCAATGATAACCATTTCTGGCCTCACCTTTATTGTGTGGCGCATATGTATTTGGCGCCCCTTTGTACCAATGTTTTTGTTCAAATAAATAAATAAATAGAGATTTGGTATGCGCACTTTTTTATTTATCTACAAGATCAGTCAAATGCATTCTGAACGAATTTGATACGGCTTTTATCCAAAAGTTATAAATGTAATTGAATTTAAAATGTAAATAATAAAAGCAAATATCAAAAACCCAGGCGAAAAAATAACTTTGATTTACCTCATAACCGTAACGAACAGATAACTTGGCATGAGGAACAGAAGCATATGCACGAGATACCGAAGTATGAAACGATCTACTGTGCTGTGTTTCAGGTGTTGGATTGGTTACTGTCATGATAGTTGTGCTGGAACCGAAATAGAAAATGATGAAAAAACTGTGGATAAGGCAAAACAAAAGTATTTGGTCATAGCAGCGACACTAGTCGGAATGACTATTACAGTAACGTATCATTTCAATAATAACACGATTTCACCTCAGTCAAGAATGACTAAATTATAAGATAGTGCTAAATAACTATGATCAATGCATTGATGTGAAAGATAGGAATCTAATGCAATAGCTGGATTTTAACTAATGAGTATATGGAATTCACTTCAACTAAAAATGTTTGT